GGGTTATTGTCCAGTCATACTGTCGTGGGTCAAGTGTTCATCAGAGTGACAGACTGGGGGAAGAAACTGTCCCCTGTCCCTGGTTGTCTTAGTGCACAGTGACCTGTAACGCTGTCCAGAGGGGAGGAGTTCAAACAGATTGTGTCCAGGGTGTGAGGGGTCTGCAGTGATCCTCTCCGCCCTCCTTTTGACCCGTGAGGTGTACAGGTCCTCCATGGAGGGCAGGCTTGCACCAGTCACCTTTTCATCAGTCCTGACTGTCTGCTGAAGTTTGTACTTGTCCTGTTTGGTTGCTGAGCCAAATGAGCCTGGGTCACAGGAGACTTTGACAGCACCTCTCCATATTAAGACTAGTTTTGGAGCACATTTTCACAACAAAAATATCTGACAAAAGTTACATACTGTAGCTTTAATATACGTAAATTGCCCTGGGACCAATCCTAGATGACACTGGACGAGAGGTGGGGTCCACCTTGGACAGGTTGCCAGTTTATCACAAGGCTGACATGTAGACAAACAACCACACACACTCACACTCACTCCTATGGGCAATTTAGAGTCACCAGTCAACTTAAGCTGCATGTCTTTGGACTGTGGGAGGAAGCTGGAGTACCTGGAGAGAACCCACACAGGCACAGGGAGAACATGCAAACTCCACAAAGAAACACCCTGTGTCGGCCCAGGCTCAAACCTTTTTGTTGTGAGGTGACAGCACTAACCACTGCAAGCCAAAGCAAGCCAAATATCTGTATATGTCTCTAAATGAAATCTGTTATTTCACAGAAGTCACAGCAACCTCATCTCTCAAGGTAAAAAAAAAGGCATATAGGGAACTGCACAAACTAGTGACTTGTGATCTCAGTCATAAATTCATGCTGATACATACACAACAACCAGTACCACAAGCTTGATTTTCTTGTCTATGTGTGTGGTATGATATTGAATGTTAAAGTGGTTTCCATATGAACACTGCATTTCGCAGTTCTAATGGGAATTACATATAAGCTCCATATTTTCCATGACAAAATACACTAGATGCACTGCCATCATGCCATTTGTGAAACTTTCTGACATAGCCTACAGTATATTGAATTTCTGTTCAAACTGGGAAAAAAGGTTAAAAATAAAATTGTATTTGACTAGATTAACACTTCCTCCATCTGGCGCTACTTGATAAGGAGCTCATGCAAATGCAGCTATTTTGATTTTTTTTTTATATATAATCAGTCTCTTTTTCTTTTAAAGAAAGACAAGCATACAGTTATCAAGCCTGCAAATTAGCTGTAAATATCGTATGACATAATGCATTAAAATGTTGGGGCAACAAATAATGTTAAATATATCATTTTGCATTAACAATTCAAAGGTAATTACTATAATTTTAAATGAATTTTGACATTCATCAAGCTGAAAAGCTTCTTTGCTTTGCATTTAATTCTGGAGCTGAATTGTCACAATAGTGTTTACCAGGTATGACAGCAACAGAGGTTACTTTATACACAGTGAATTTAGTTCTGTTTATTGGGCACAGCTAGCTCTAAAACTAATGCAGTCTACCTACCGAATGTTTACTGACCATTAAAACTACAAAGATTTGATCATTCTCAATTCATCCGCGTTTATAATGTCTTTAAATTATTTTTTTTAAACAAAAAGTAACTGAGGTTTTGCTAAAGAGAAAAAAGACAAGTGTTCATATTTACGCTCTGTCAGTTTAGTTTGCTCTTGCAATGGGCCTGTCTGAGTCAACAGGTTTAACTTTGTTTTAGTTATGACAAACGGCCATTTCCCCATCTTAGTCGTTGTAGCTCTGCTAAATATGCAAAAGCATGTGAGACAGCAGCTCTCAGTGACAAACTGGGGTGATACTATTAAGATACCTGAAGGGGCACATAGAAGACTGCCGTTTGTGGCAATCTGTAATCTTTATAAACAGTACACTCTGTCTCGCTACAGGTTGCTACATCTAGTTACAATATTTTCGAGTGCCAGTAAATGCAGCATTATAGACTAGTGATGGGCAGATGAAGCTTCATGAAGCAATGAAGCCTTTCATCCAATTGGTTCACTCCAGCGCAAAGCTTCTTGAAGCTTCATTTGCTCTAGTAGGACATCTACTGGATGCAACAATATCAGTTGGCATGAATTTGAAGTGTGTGGCATTTTGCAGAAAGCCTGTGAATAAAACTGTCAGCAAAATAAAGAAGTATGCAAAACATGTATATTGTAGTGATGGCAGTATACTGTGTATATATATATACTGGCAGTATGGAAAATGATTATTTGGA